CCTACAACCGTCAAAACTGGCTGCTTCAGTCAGGTCTTACCTAACTTACAAGGAACTGCACAGACAGGTTTAAATCTGTCAAATCAAGAGCTATAGCTTAGGCTTCTTAAACTGTGTGCTGAGCACCCAAACACTTTAACAGCAGAGTCTCTACTTTTGAAAGCCTAAACCACTGTCTAAAAGACTGCTCATGTGAGCTGAACCATTATTAAAGAACAAGCAAACAGTTTTCTTTGAACAGTTAAAAGCAGTGGCTGCCATGGAGCATTAAAATCTGCAGACAGAGCTGTCCAACCGACACTGCACGGCACTGCTCCGTCTCTGATCCTGCCCCGACGGTGCGAAACACCTGCCTGACACAGCGCGAGAGGCCGACATACACACAAACCATTCCAAATACGAGTTAACAACATGACAGACTTGTAACTGATCACAGTCTGTGCTTTCTGGAAGAAAAACGTTTATTTACAGTTCCCAAATCTATCAGCATTTGATTTGACTGCTTACCTTTCCACTATCTTCTCTTGTATCTCTGCTTTCTGTATGGATCCTGAATGGGAAACTAAAGGAGCAGCTGTAGTTTTGCTGTCAAAGAAGTCTATAAGAAAGGACAGAAGCCGATGAACAACAAGAACAACTATTCAAAGCTTCTTTATAAAATTCTGACTAGAGAGGAATTTCTGTTAATACCTTACTGAATCAAGGGAGGAATAGCCAGACAGCCTCAAACAATTAGAACATACAATCAATAAGCACGCTAACAAACTAGCAAGGAATCTCCCTTCTCTGCTTCCGATATTACACGCCCTAATCAGCTAATAGCAATAATTAGAAAAATAAATGAAAACCCTTCCATCACCAGTTAAAACACAGCTTCTCCTTACTGAATCACTCACTATTTCAGTCAGCATTACCTGCAGGCAAAGAATTAGCTTCTTGAGTTGGAGGTGGAATTTCAGTTTTGTGCATAACAGAAGATTTTTTTGACTGATCTTGTTGTTCCTCCTCCTCCTCCTCTTCATCATCATCATCATCATCATCATCATCATCATCATCATCATAATTTCCTGCCAATAAGCTGGGACCTGGATCCTTTGAAAGCTGTTCGTTTGCATTACCTTGCTCCGTGTCATCAAAAAAATCTGCTGGTAGCCTAGTAAAGAACACAGAATTATTTCAAACCTCACAAAAATCAGCGACAGTCCAGCACCCGAAGTCTATCACTCTGTGAGCAATACAATCTTTTAGCTACTGTGCAACACCCTGAACTGCACAGCTACCGATGTAACCACTGTCTGAAGGCAGCACAGACTGGTTGCTTTTATTTGAAGTTCCCCAGAAAAGCTCAGGTTCATTCTGCAAACCCATTTCAGTCCCATTTTTGTATTCAGTATCAGAAACGTTAATAAAAATATCCCCTAACAAAGTGCATTTGGAGGAACGGAAGCTTGGGTAACTCTAATTAATTAATTAATAATTTAGTTAATTGCATCAGTGTACCCAGGCTGCGAACACATTAAATACAAGACTCATAGTTCAGCAGTCACACTAATGTCTCGCCAACCTCGGTAACCTTCACGCATAACACACCGAGTTATTCTGGGTACCTGCTGCTGCTCCGAACTGCAGCTTACCAGAGCCACACAGGCTCAGCCATGAGGAAACTCGGATTTGCTTCGAATAGCTGCAGGCCTCCACGCCAAACATTCTTCCAGGTTATATTTTAAAATCATCATACCAATCAGTTTCACAACGAACAAACCTCTCCACTGTTAGTTCTGCACACACGCTCAAAATTTCTACAAGGTAAGCGTCTTCTCCTGTCAAGATAACAGCACGTAATACCTACGCAAGACAGCAATAATTTATCCTCTGAAGAAGCGTACGGGAGACCTGCAGGCCTCGTGTGACACCTACCAACCCCACAAAGATGTCCCAATACCGTCAGAAATCTTTAGTGGCAGTAAGATGCTGAACCCAACCCCCTGAAGTCAAGTACGCTCCTCTATCTGGGAGAGTTCAACTGCATGATAGGCATTTACATGAACTTTAAGTGACAAAAATGCGTTGATGACATCTGTTAGTAGTCTTTGTGAATAAATATCATCTAAATGTACATTTAAATATACATTTAAAATTTGTCTTAATTTCAGACTACCACCTCTTCTGCAGTATGCTAGCATTAAAAATTAAGAGTGCATGCCACAACCTAGTTATTTTCATCCTAGCAAACTGCAGAACACCACCACATATTAACCCTTAAAAGTCTGACAGTAACAGTAAAACAATTCCTGTTTTGTCAGAGACTCTAGAGTCAATACCGTGGTTTTCTCATCTGCACTGAGGAAGGTGCTGTCGTGTTCAGGAATGTACACCCATGTTAGAAAACGAGCAGAAACAGGGATCTGCTGATTCTCTGAATCTTTACCCTTGGCTAGGAAGGAACAATGAGGAAGAACAGGGTGAGAATACAGCAGCTGGTAGTTACAAAAATCTCACATGTAATAAGATCTACTTACCCAGACGTAGAAGTATGTGGCTTTTCGTCTGTACCTGTGTAACAGCCAAGAGTCACTTCTTACAATCCATGCTTTTAAAAGAAACATCCCTCAAGCCTACAGCAGCAAGGTCACAAATGCACACTTTCACATATTTCATGTATTTACATGTTTAGTAGCACCACAGGAAAAATATGAACTATCTTTCCTTTAGGATGAACTTTCATGCAGGATTTGAGGTAAACCCACTGAAAAGGAACACCACCACTTCTGGGCAAGTGCTTCTACTGCGTAACTTACACTGCTGCTGGTTCTGTTTGGACCAAGCCCACAGCTCCATGACCTAATTTAACCCAATAAACCAAAACCGGGTAAACTATCAAACGTGCAGTTTTCTCCCGATCAGTGAACTCACTGAGAAAGAGCCACACAGACTTTTTCCCGTTTCAGCAGCAACAGGCTGACGTTAACTCAACAGTCTTGTGTATTCACACTCACTTCCACAGGAAAAAAACAAACCAAAACCATCCAAGATGTGAAACGGCTAGATTCTGGCAAGTGCTTGATCGGTATTTTCCTCTCCTTACCTTTTACTCTCTTTAACTCTGTATTTTCTGTGTCAACAGTTTTTCTCTTGACAGGATGAGATGATGTGCTAGCAGCTGAACCAGTTGCTGTCTGCTTTGTGCCTTTTAATTCTGCAACTCTCTGTAAAGAAGTACAAAATTCAGGAAGCTTTCCTAGCAGGAACTTGTGGATTGCAGCTTAAAATATAGCGCTTTTACAACAGTTTAATAAAGTGAGCTAGTATCTTTCTAGAACAAGATCACTGAAACAGACATCACGGATAACAAAACCAAGACCAATGTTTCTGCCAGCCCCTTGAACGATGTGACATGAGGGCAGAGGAGCTGACAGTTGCACAAGAGAAGCTCTATGAGTGAGAAAGGAAAGACTAAGATCAGTGACATCTACAGCAGTAAGACACTGGGGGAAAGGGCAACAAGGCTGGACTCATCCTAAGGTCCAAGAACGTTAAGCGTTTTAAAATTAAAAGACAGCAGTAGTATTAAAGCCATGTCACTGTGCCTTGCCACAAGAATCTACTCAGAAGGTAATGAACCAGGAACCCCTCACGTCTTTTGGTCTTTTCCTCAGTACTTGTAAAATTAAATGCAATCTCTTCAGTTTCTGCTAAGAGGCAGAATTTGAAAGGACAAAAACGTCAGACTGAAGGTGGCATCCACGTTACAAGCTCACGGAAATTGTTTTACAAATGCTTTACTGCTGAATTATAAAGAAAAAAAAAAAGCACGTTTCCTTAACGAGGTTTAAGCTGTCCCTTGGTAACATACAGGTAACACGCAATCCCAGGGAGGGTTTCCAAGCCCGAGCTGCGGACAGGGGACAGCTCCAGCTGTCGCTAACTCGGGAGCGGCCCCTCGGAAGGCACGGGGCGATCCTCTCCATCAGCACAGGGGTGTCAGAAAGCCCAAACGCGGCAAGTTTTCACACCACCCTCCCCTGGCAGAAGCTCAACCGGACCCACTGCCGCACACCTCCAGGAGC